TCCTTACTTTCTGGCACGAGGTGCTGCAGGTGCTCCGCCTCATCTGGTGCCTTCCCTGCCCAGCCCTGGAATCAGCATTTCTCCAAGGAGCCCTGGCTCCTTCCAGTGGGGAATGGTCTCAGCACAGAGTGTGCTCATCACTGGCGGAGTGTCACTGCTCCCAGACCCTCTCTAAGACCGTGTGTCTGTAGGTACATGGACATAAACTTCTATCTGTATCATTTCTGTATCTGGTTATCTGTCTTCTATCTTCTTTGTATCAACTATGTAGAAAACTATGAGTTGACGCGGATAATTCTGCTTCTAATCCAGCACCATGGAGTTTATTCTAATCTTCTCTCTTTCCATGTTTGGAACTATCTTTCCCAACAGTGAGAAGAATATTAGCTTTCATTATTCTTAATTTTTATTTATTTATTTTAGAGGGAAAGCGAGTGAGAGAGAGAGAGAGAGAGTGAGCACGAGCATATGCGGGGTGGGGGAAGGGGCAGAGGGAGAAGCAGACTCCCCGCTGAGCAGGGAGCCCGCTGCTGGACTCGATCCCAGGACCCTGAGATCATGACCTGAGCCGAAGGCAGACGCTTAACCAACTGAGCCACTCAGATGCCCCAGCTTTCATTATTCTTAATGTATGTACTTATCTCATCAATCCCCTTATGTAACCAATTTCCTGTTTCTGCACCTCACTCCCTGCCCCGCCCACTCCCTCCCACCCCAGTGGGATGCCCTCCTCACTCTGCTCTGGCCCCCAAACTGTGCCACGTTTCTTGCGTATGATCTCAGTTCAACTACCCCATGGAATTTACACATTTTAATTTTAATTTTTTTTTTAAAGATTTTATTTATTTATCTGAGAGAGAATGGGAGACAGAAAGCATGAGAGGGGGAGGATCAGAGGGAGAAGCAGACTCCCCGCCGAGCAGGGAGCCCGATGCGGGACTCGATCCCGGGACTCCAGGATCATGACCTGAGCCGAAGGCAGTTGCTTAACCAACTGAGCCACCCAGGCGCCCTTAATTTTAATTTTTTATTTAATTTGAATATATAATACCTACTCATTGTCTGAAATTAAAAAGGTATGAAAGGGTTTACAGTGAAAAGTCAGTCTTCCTCCCCCCTGGCCCTCCCATTCCCTTCCCTTCCCAAGGGCTTTTCTTTCTTTTTTTTTTTTTATTCTTATGTTAATCCCCATACGTTACATCATTAGTTCTAGATGAAGTGTTCCATGATTCATTGTTTGTGCATAACACCCAGTGCTCCATGCAGAATGTGCCCTCCTCAATACCCAGCACCAGGCTAACCCATCCTCCCACCCCCCTCCCCTCTAGAACCCTGTTTGTTTTTCAGAGTCCATCGTCTCTCATGGTTCGTCTACCCCTCCGATTTCCCCCGCTTCATTCTTCCCCTCCCGCTACCTTCTTCTTCTTTTTTTTTTCTTAACATATATTGCATTATTTGTTTCAGAGGTACAGATCTGAGATTCAACAGTCTTGCACAATTCACAGCGCTTACCAGAGCACATACCCTCCCCAGTGTCTATCACCCAGTCACCCCATCCCTCCCACCCCACCCCCCACTCCAACAACCCTCAGTTTGTTTCCTGCGATTAAGAATTCCTCATATCAGTGAGATCATATGATACATGTCTTTCTCTGTTTGACTTATTTCACTCAACATAATACCCTCCAGTTCCATCCACGTCGTTGCAAATGGCAAGATCTCATTCCTTTTGATGGCTGCATAATATTCCCAAGGGCTTTTCTTGTTGCAGGTGGTCCGTGCTAGCATGGAGGTGCAGGCCCACACATGATGGTCACACATCACACATTGTAGCACTGTCCATACTGGTCTCTCCTTGGCTTTTTTCATTCAACAATGTATCTTGGAGGTTGCTCATACTGGTACTCTTAAGCTGTCTCATTTTTTTTCGTTATTTTATTTTTAATTTTTTGCCTCACTTTTGTTCAAAGATTTATTTATTTGAGAGAGAGAGAGAGAGAGCAAGCGGGGGGGGGGATGGGGCACAGGAAGAGGGAGAGAGAAACTCAAGCAGACTCCCCACTGAGCGCAGAGCCTGACATGGGGCTCCATGACCTAAGCCAAAACCAAGAGTCAGACACTTAACTACTTGGTGTAAAGGAAGCCCTTGATAACAAAAGGGTCCCCTCACATTAGGGTCCCCAGGCTTTTGTGGCATAAATTTCTACCTCAGGCTTAGGTTTAGGGACATAGTCCTGCTAAGGGAGAGGGAAGGGGCTGGCCTGGAGAGGACCAGGGGGTCTGGGGGCTTGGGCTGGGGTTCTTAGGTCCCAAGAAGAGTTGTGACCAGGCTTTTGATTCAGTAATATTTGAAGGAAAAATGCTAATGTAGATGGGAACTGGTATTTGGTCCTTCATTACTCATTCATTCATTCATTCATTCATGTTCATCTTCACAGCTTGTGACTTTAAGCAAGTAACTCCACTTTTCTGTGCTCGTGTGCCCTCTTCTGCGACGTGGGGACGGTGACAACAGAACCTGTCTCCCGGGGTGCAGTGAGATTAAATGATGATGCATGCACAGTGCTCGAATACTGCCTGGCACATAGTACATGCATAATAATATCAATTATCCTCACAGTTCATTTTTTTGTTCAACAAATCATTTATTGAGAATCCGCTACATCCCAGGCTTTGTTGTCTCTACCTGGAATTGGAAGCATGTGGAACCTCAGATTCTGTAAAACCAGAGCCCAGAAAAGATGATGAGACCTCAGCGTGTAACCACCCTCACCCAGCAATCTGGCTGCAGGGGATGGTTTAAGATCCCCCATTCCCTGCATTTTCAGGCTAGGGATCCTGACACCCCTGTAAGCCCTGTCGCTCAGCTCCCCAGAGGTTGGGACAGCCTCAGACCTTCTCCAGCAGTGCTGATGGGAACCCTTGTGGACTCAGAACAAAAACAGACTTGTACTTTTTACAAGAAGGACTCTCCTTCTTAAGGTGCTGCTGAAGGTCCAAGCAACCTTTTCTTTGCTGCCAGTTGGGCTCTGGGAGAAAGCTGGCTTGGGGCGCCTGGGTGGCTCCGTCGTTAAGCGTCTGCCTTGGGCTCAGGTCATGATCCCAGGGTCCTGGGATCAAGCCCCGCATCGGGCTCCTGGCTCAGCGGGGAGCCTGCTTCTCCACCTGTCTCTGCCTCCTCACCCCTGCTCATGCTCTCTCTCTCTCTCTCTCTCTCTCTCTGATAAATAAATAAATAAAATCTACGAAAGTTGCCCAGGGGCTCACCACTGCCTGCTATCATTAGTTTAGTGTGAACCAGGACTTCTCAATCTCGACACCACTGGCATTTAGGACAGGATCATTCTTTGTTTTTTTTAGGATGTCTTTATACGGGGGTTGGCAGAGGAGGAAGGAGAGAGAGTCTCAAGGAGACTCCGCACTCAGTGGGGCTCAATCTCATGACCCCAGGATTATGACCTGAGCTGAAACCAAGAGTCGGATGCCTGACTGACTGTACCCCCCAGACGCCCCAGGACAGGATCAGTCTTTGTCTCGGGACACTGTTGTGCATTGCAGGTTCCCTGCCTTTACGCACCTGAAGTCAGTAGCACCCCCCAACCCCTAGATGTGACAACCAAATATGTCTCCAGACATTGTCAAGTGTCCCCTGGGGATGCAAAGTCACCCTCAGTTGAAAATCCCTGCTGTGGAGGATCCAACAGCTGGGCAGAGCTGAGGGGCTTGCCCTGTGACATTGGGGAAGCCCTCTGCACTCTCAGGGCCTCAGGTCCCCATCACTTAGGGGATCAGGCTGAGCTAGCATCAGGGGGCCTCCAGCCTGGTCTGCCTAGAGTTCTAGCTCCTATGCATTCCTGTCTCTCTTTGCATCCTGGTTGCAAGTTCTAGGAGGCAGGGTGGGGATTGAGGCCTGGGGGACAGGTCTGGATGGGGCCAGCCCCCTGTTTGTTCTTTACCCCATGCCTGGCCCTCCCTCCAAACGCAGGAGAGGTAGTAAGCGCAAATCCAGGCTGTGTGTCATTGAATCCTTGTAACAGCTCGGTGAGGTGGGAGCTTTTATTTTCCCCATTTTCCAGCAGCGGGACAAATCACAACGGTGTGCCACCTGACTCGGCACACCAGAATACAGTATCACTTCTATGAGGTCCATGCAAAGATGCATGACCTGGAGCTAGCGATGTGGAAGCATCAGGCAAATCCAGAGTGAAGGGCAAACTGCAAAGAGGCTGGCCTGTCATCCTCAAAAGTGCCAAGGACAAGAAAGTACACGAAAGACCAAGGAGCTGTTGAAAGAGCCTAATACAACCGAAGGAAGTGAGGTGTGGTCCTGGACCGGAAAGAAATTGTCAAGACCTTTTGGGGGACAATCATGGAATGTTGAACGTGTCATGTGGGTTTGATGGTGGTGTCGTATCGATGATAAGTGTCGTGAGTTTGTGTACTGTATGTGTGTGTAGTGGGGGAGGGGGGGTTGGGAGATCCATGCCGGAGGGTTCAGGGATCAAAGGACATCACGTCTATAACGGACTCTCCATCATTCAGGACAAGAGAGAAACATAAATAGAGGGAGAAATGATGAAGTGGGACAGAATGTAAATAATCTGGGCAAAGGATATCCCGGGGTTCCTTATAACTCCTGTAATTTCTCTGTAAGTTCAGAAGTTGTGTGACAGTCGAAAAGCGAATCAAAACATCTGACCTCCAATAAACCCGAGAGAAACGAAAATATATGTCCACAAAAAAGACCTGCAAGCATATTCACAGCAGTTTTATTTATAATAGCCCCAAGCTGGAAATAGCCCAAATGTCTTTCAGCACGTGAGAAGATCAACAAATTGTAGGACATCTATAAATGGAATACTACTCAGCGGGGCTGTGGAGCGAGCTATGGATTCCCGCACACGATGGGCGAATCGAGAGCATTACGCCGAGGGACAGAAGCCAGACACAAAAGACCACGTACGGTGTGATTGCTCTGATAGGAAGTTCCAGGCCAGCTCAGATGAATCTAGAAGTCACAACAGTGGTTCCTTCTGTGGGTGGAGGAGTTCCACTGCTCGGGAAGGGGCATGCGGAAGCCTTTGGTCTGCTGCAAAGGTTCTATCTTGTCCTGGGTGGTGGTGATACGGATTTATACACATGTAAGTAAATATTCACTGAGATAAAAACTGACCAAGACAGATTCCCTTTCTGTACTTGACATATGTTAAACTCAAAATCAGAGTAAAAAAAGAAGAAAAAAATTGAAGATGCACATCAAACACAGGGGAATGAGGTGGACAGGGAGGGGAAATGGGGTTGAAAGGAATAAATAAAACCAGGGAGGGGGCTTGCATGGCAACGAAGACAGCATGTTAGGAATTGAGGAGCTGGAGGGGCGCCTGGGTGGCTCAGTGTGTTAAGCGTTTTCTTTCATCTCAGGTCATGATCCCCTGGGTCCTGGGATGGAGCCCCGAGTGTGGCTCCCTGCTCAACGGGGAGTCTGCTTCTCCCTCTCCCTCTGCCCCTCACCCCCGACTCTCTCCAATAGATAAGTAAAATCTTAAAAAAAAAAAAAAAAGGAATTGAGGAGTTGGATAACTCGGCCCTTCATACCTGAGGTTCTAAAGGAAACACCACAAAGGACAAAAGGGCTCAGAGAGGGGGATTACCCTGCCTGAGGTCACACAGCTGGTGGGTCGCAGAGGCAGGATGTGAACTTGGGGCTGGGTGACCCTGGGGAGTGCTCCTTACCCAGTGCTCTGGCCTGGACTCACTGGGCTGGACAGCCCTGTTTGGCTCCCAGAGGCTTCCCCGGGGCCTGGTGGGGATGGCGAAACCACCACCTGACGAAGGTCCTTCCAGCCCAGAGCTCAAGATTCCAAGTGGGGCGAGCAGGCAGTGGGACAGAGGACAGCCTGGGCAGCAGATCGCATCCCCAGAGCCTTGCTCCCCGGTCCGGGGCTGCCTTGCCAACCTTGCCCGCCTCCTGTTGTCCTTTGCCTTCCTTCCTGGGCCAGTGTGTGGGCTCTGGGGCTCCACACCCTTGGGTGTGAATCTCGGCTCTTCCTCCTTCTGCCTTTGTGACCTGGGGTGAGTGGCTCCCCACTATGTGCTTCAGTTTCCACTTCTAGAGCCTGCCCACAAGACCATGTGCCTAATAGCATTGGTGGACAATGTGCTCGAAACTTGACATGATGCCTTCACGTCCTAAATACTCAAAAAGGGCACCTGCTCTTGTTTATTATTGCTACGTGTGGGAAGGGGGAGCCTCTGTTGCCCTCAGGCCTCGCAAACACCTACATGTTAAGACAGCTAGCATGGGATGGAAACTTCTGGAGAAAGGAGCTTTCAGACTTCCTGGAGGTTACTTAGAAAACACTCTTAATTTCCATTCTGGGTTTTGAAAAATTCTTGGTGAGCTAAGGCAGGGCTGGGGCGGGTTTCCTGGATGGTCACACACACGGCACTCATGCTCAGAAGGGGCCTGCACGTGGTTTAATGCTCTGCTGCTGAGCCTAGAAATTCTTCACGATTTCAGGACGAGGGTCTCGGCATTTCATGTGGCTGGTCCTGGGCAGGACTGTGGCATCTGGCGAGGTCACTCAGTACTTTCACCTTGGTTGTGTTTGGATGTTCAGGAACATTCTTTAACCTTGCGGGCCTCAGTTCTTCCATCTGGGAAGTGGGAAGAAGTGCTTTGTGCCAGGCCATAGGGAGATGAGAAGAACCCAGATCTCCTGGTACCCAGCTACCATTGGTGGCTGAGCAAAGCTGAAACTTGGGGAAATAGGGACTTGGCAGGCCTTAGCGTGTGCCCACAGTACACACAGTAGGTGCTTAGTATGTACAAGCTCCCCTTTGATCCCCAGGCTGGCCTGTCTTTTTGCCTTTTGCACGATTAAATTTTGATTTAAAACAATGCTAGTGGGGCACCTGGGTGGCTCAGTCGGTTAAGCGTCTGCCTTCAGCTCAGGTCATGATCCCAGGGTTCTGGGATCTCCCTGCTCAGTGGAGAGTCTGCTTCTCCCTCTCCCTCTGCATGTGCCTGCCCCCCCCCCCCCACTCATGCTCTCTCTCTATCTCAAATAAATAAATAAAATATAAAAAAAACACACCAAACAATGCTAGTAATACACACATCCATTTTCTTAAAACATGAAAACATTTCCAATCAGGCTGGAGTGTCTTGGACGACCCACCCTGGGGCCAGCCCCTTCTTCATGGTTTTACGATTTGAGGGTGCAAACTTGCAGTAGTCGTCTATGCCTTAATGCTGTCCTTCCTTTTTTTTTCTATTATACTTTTTATTTTTTTATTATTTTATGATTATTATTTTTAAAAGATTACATTTTAATTTTTAAGTAATCTCTAGGCCTGACATGGGGCTCGAACTCACAACCCTGAGATCAGGTGCCCCTCTGTTATACTTTTTAAAATGTAAACTTTCCATGGAAGCATAACCTGGGCCCGGAGGAGCTGCTGTATTTTCAGCCACCCAGCCCACCCCATGCCCCCTCATGGAGCACGTCTTCTTGTGGCCTTTCACTGCTGCCTGTTTTCCGGCCCATCTCTGGCTCCTCGTTTCTCAGTCTCTGCACATCAGTCCCGTCTGCAAGCGGGCGTCCACGATACCCCAGGATGGCCACACGCTTGGTGCCCAGGAAGGAAATGGTTGGTAAAAGAACTGATGGAAACGAGGAAAAAATGGCAGATGACGACAGCAGCCAGGTCTGCATAATCGAGGGGTCTGTCAAGGTGGGTTTGGGTCGATGGGAGTTTCTTGTGAAACTTGTAAAAGCACAGACTGTTTGGTATCAGCAGGGACTAAGCCCTGCGTTTTCCGGAAGAGAATAGTGACACTGTGGATGTCCCAGGGCCCTCGGGAGGGGCCGGTGGGATGGCACTGGGGGAGCGCCCGCTGAGAGAAGGTGATACTGAAGCAAAGACGTGAAAGAGGAAAGGGAGAGGGCCATGGGGGTATCTGGGGAAAGAGGGACTGGCAAGTGTGAGACCCTGAGGTGGGACCACGCTTCTCTGTTCAGGGAGCAGCAGGGAGGCCAGTGTGAGTGAGGGGCCTGGAGGGTGGTGTGTGGATGTGGGTAGTGTGCAGGGGGTTCTGAGCACAGGAGGGATATGATTTGACTGCTTCTGAGGGTTAGCAGGTGGTGACAGCCAGGGAGAGGAGGGAGCACAGGGACAGAACTGGTAAAGTGCTGAGCCCGGGGTCTGGTGCACAGTAGATACTCAATAAACATGGTGTTATGGGAGAGAGTACGCCGAGGCTGTGGATGGAGTGCCCCGCTAAGCTTTAATGGGTGATGTCTGAGGGGTCCTGTCTACCACCCCGCCTCCCACCGTGGAGGGCTTGGTGCCCCTGGATGAGCTGGGGGCGGGGAAGGAGGCCCCCCCCTCCTGCAGTGGGACAGGATCAGCAGGTGAGTGGGAGGAGGAGGCCGGGCCAGGGCTGGCAGGGAGCCAGGGAGACAGTGTTCAGCCTGGGAGGACAAGCTGGGGCTGGTCGTCCTGGGGAGAGAGGCAGGAAGCAGGACCTGGCCCTGAGTGGAGCTTCCTTGCTTCCCAGCCCGTCTCCAGTGTGGACTTCCCGGAAATCCAATTCCTGCCTTGATGGTTTCTGCTCCGGGGCTTCTATCCTGGCCCCTCTGATCCTCTCACTGCCTCCCTATCCCCCCACAGCTGGGGCTCCAGTCGGACATCCTCACCATGTCCAGTGTGCCCCTGCTCACACCTGCACCCCAGCCGCTTCTTGCTTCCCACCTGTACCTTTTCTCGGTCGCCCCCATCCCTCCAACTTGCCAGTGCACCTTCGACTCTTTCCTTTCCCTTCTTACCGGGTTCATGCCTATCCATTACTTAATTCTCAGAGGAGAGGGTTCCTCGGGGAGGCCTTCCCTGATCTCCCCCCTCTCTCCTCCATTCCTTTGCGCAGCCAGGAGCCCCGTTTGGAGTCTATATGTGTGTGATTATCTGTCTATGGTCAGTCTCTCCCAGGGGCGCTGAGCTCCTGGGTCAGGAACAGGTCTGTCGTGTAGCTGCTGTGTTCCTAGCACTTGGAACAGCACCTGGCACATAGTAGGATGGAGGATGGGTGGTTGGTGAAACAGAGAGAGATGGATGGACTTGGACTAGTAGGTGTGGGCTGGGTGATGGCGTGAGCAGGGAACAGGTGGAGGAGGGACGAGTGGGTGGGTGCATGGGTAAGCAATGGCTAGGTGACAGGAGACTGGACTAAAGTGGGTGGAATGCAACAGAAAACTCCTGACCTAAGAGTCAAGAGACCTGGGTTCAAGTTCAGCCTTGCTGCCTATTAACATCAAGGCCTGTGGAGTCGTAGGTGTGTCCTGTTGCCCCTCTTTGCATCTGTTTCCCTGTCTTTTGGTTTTTCTGCTTTGTTGTGGCTTTTATTTTATTTTATTTATTTTTTATTTTTTTAAAGATTTTATTTATTTATTTGACAGAGAGAGACACAGCGAGAGAGGGAACACAAGCAGGGGGAGTGGGAGGGGGAGAAGCAGGCTTCCGGCAGAGCAGGGAGCCCATGCAGGGCTCGATCCCAGGATCCCGGGATCAGGACCTGAGCCGAAGGCAGATGCTTAACGACTGAGCTACCCAGGCGCCCCTGTTGTGGCTTTTATTTCACTGCATAGAACGCTTTCCTACCCACCCCCCGAAGTTTTTCTGGAGCCATACCACATGAACAGAACACAAGGGAGCCCCTGAGAGGGGGGCAGGGCATCGCCCCAGGAGCCCAATGAGCCAGGAATGAGCATGAAAACCCAGCTGGACAGTCCACAGTCCCTGGCTATGTGAGTCCCTCTGCTCCAGGGGTGTTTGCTAAAAGTGCAGATTCCAGGGTCCCTGCACCTAAGCTTCCACTTAAGGTGCTTTGGAGCAGACCCAGAAATCTGCAGTTTTATCAAGCCCCTCTCCAGGATTTTGAGCTCATTTCTAGGTAAGCCTCACTGCCACCTTCCAGGATGACTAGAGCCTACAGGTCAGCAGCCCGGCGTACACATGTGCGTGCCTGTGTGTGTGCTGTGGGGGATGGGGGCTGCTGTGACATTTTCTTTCGGGGAAAAAAAACCCAAAAACCAGACTGGAAACAACCGGGATGTCCATTGGTGGAGCTGGTTAAGTACGT